CTTTTGTTTTCTTTTCTTTACTAGGCTATTTTTTATCGTTACAGTAAAATTATTTTTTCTCTTGTATTCACTTATTATTTGTGTTTCCTTTACAGTTTTATACAGTAATTTTTCTTTGGTGTACTATATAATTTTAATTAGTTGCATCTGTATCAAATAATATTAAACTGTTTACAAATATCATTCTGTTGTCTTCTGGTGTTCATAATTTCTCACAGGAAGTCTGCCATGCTCATTTTTATTCATTGTTCTATGGTATGGCTTTGTTCATTGGTATTTTCATGGTTTTCTCTTTATCGTTGGTTTGGAGAAGTTTAAATATTTGTCTAGGGGAGTGTGTATGTGTGTTTTATTTCACTTTTTATCACTCAACTGGAATCTGTGCGATTTATTTTATCAACTTTGAAAATTCTCAGCCACAGTTCTCTTTAAATGTTTCTTCTTCCTGTTCTCTCCTCTCCTGTGAGTATTCTGATTATTTCTATGTTAGACTATTGGTATTGCACCACAGATAGTGGATGCTCTGTTTAGTCTTTATTCTCTCTTCTCTCTCTTGGGGTGTAATTTGGCTAATATATATTGACTCATTCTCAAGTTTACTTCTATTCATTGGTCGTGATGAGCTTCTCATAGATATTATTCATATCTGTCTCTCTTTTCATTTCTAGCATTTTCATTTGCTTCTTTCTTCAATTCAATCTCCCCTTCCCACTTTTTCCTGTAGCCTCTATTTCTCTAATCACTTTCATGCTCTTCTGTTTATGTATGTGGCTTATCTTCTCCACTAAGACATTTAAGAAATAATTATTTAAATTTTCTGGTATTTTAAACATTTCTGTCATATTTTAGTCTGGTTTTATTGACCGCTTTTTGTTTTCATTGTGTGGGATTTTTCCCTTGCTTCTTTGTGAGTCTCATGATTTTTTAATGAAACCCAATATTTTGTATAAAATAGTAGGTAAGAGGCATATATGCCTGGAAATGACACTTTTCCCCCATTAGGACATTTGTGTGTGGGTTGAGTCAATCTAGCCAGGAGCTGAATTGGCTTTAGACATTTTGTTCCTGTGTTTATCCTCTTTGTACCACAAGTTCAAAGTCTTCTAATATTACCTTGGGCTTAGTGTAAGGCTGGCTTACTAGATGGTTCTTCACAAATATGTATTACACCCTTAGCTTTAGGTCTTCTTTTTGTGGCCTTTGTGTGTGTGTTGGGTGGGGGTTCCATCTCTCGTATTTCCCATATTCCAGCTGTAAGTGTTATTGTTAGCCCTCTTAGGCTGATTAGTTGGAAATTTAGGTGGTGTTTGCTGTATTTTACTTTATCTTTGGTGGGTGCTGAGGTTGGGCTTTCTAGTAAACTTATCCTCTCCCAACTGTTAGAGTTGTCTAATGATCAGGCTTCCTGAAGGCTTCCTGCACTTCCATCATGGGTTGAGGGTAATAATAGTTTAGTTTGCCTCTTCCTATGAGAAAGAAGTTCTGGGAGGTGGGGTTCTGAGCCTTTCCCTACCCCACTGAAGGGGCTTATCTCCACTCGCTTCACATGTCCACAGTCTTTCTCATGAGCATTATTTAGTGGAGATCCAGGGAAATGAGCCTTTGAGCGAGAGCAATTTCTTCATGTCTGGAAGTTCCAAGAGTTCTATATTCTAGCCTGCACTCAACATTTAGCAATTCATAACACTGTTAGCTAGTTTGTTCTTAGCTATTTGCAAATTGTCAATACGTCTTCATATGCTCTCTTCAGCAACTCTCTTTCTCCTTAGAATTCACACTACTTGATTGCCCTCCCACTTTAGCCATCTGAACTCTGTAATGATTCAGAAGAATCATGGGGTAGTAGATAACCCAGAGTCCTTTGCTTACTGAGGTGGGAGTTGCACTCTGCAGCTTCCTATATCCTAGATACAAAACTTCAATTGTTGAGAGTTGCAATGTAACCACATTTTTGAAGCAAACTGCCACCATATACTATGGCTTTATTTTTGGATGTTACTTTTGTCTTAGTTCTACATATAATATGTAGAAATATACAGGATTTATACTAATGCTTCTCTACTAATTTTGAAAATCTGAAGTTTTATGTCTAGCAGATGCATAAGAAAAAGCTCATGGAAAAGAGTATTTTTATTTTCAAAGTTATTTTGTGACAAAAACAGTTATATTCTATTTTTATACTGAAAAAGCAGTTTGGTGGACTATAATGTTTTTGGCTCATACTTTTTCTCTCTTATGTATCTTTAATAGGACCATATATTGTCTTTTGGTATAAAAATTTGTCTACAATTCATATTTCAGTCTTATTTAATGTTTATTGATGTTGATTTTGGTCTTTCTATCTAGATGATAAAAAGCTGTTTTTTTCCTAACAATTTTATTATTTTATCTCTGTTCAATCTCAACACATTATTTCTTGATATCCATCTCTCATTTGTACTTATACACATATATATTTATAATGATATTTTTCTTTAAGGTTTATTTTCTATATTGTTACTTCTATTTGTTTTCCTAGGCATTCCGATTATGCATATGCTTATTCTCTTTGCCTTTTATCCTTTTCTCACAAATTATTTTTTATCACCTGTTCACTTTTTAAATAATTTTATTTTCACAGATTATGTATTGTTTTGTGCATATTTATTTTTGTGTCTCTTGTGTTTTAGTATGAATGAGAAGTGTCTTTGTTTGTTTATTGTCTTTAAAAAAATCTATTTAAATAAATTTAGGATCTTGCTATGTTGCCCAGGCTGCTCTCAAACTCCTGGCTTCAAGCAATTATCCCAACTAAGGCCTTCTAAAGTGCTGAGGTTACAGATGTGAACCCCATGCCTGAATTATTTTAATTTTTACTTTTATTTAGTGATATAACTCGTTTTAAAATATTTTTAGTCTTAATGTATGTTGATCTTGGATTTAGTCTATGACTTTCTTATTTTGGTGAGCTTAGAATATTAGTTTACAATTTTATCTATTTGGTGGGCATTTTTACTGCATTCTTACAGTTTGGGTAGGATATTATACAAATTTATTTTTTTAATTCAACCACATGTTTATGTGTGTGTATATATATCACATTTCCTTTATCCTTCCATCTATCAATAGACCTTTGTGTTGTTTCCATATCTTGGCTATTGTGAATAATGCTGCAATGAACATGAGAATACAGACATCTCTTTAAAATCCTAATTTCATTTTTCTTTGTATATATACACACATAAGTGAGATTACAGTATTATATAGTAGTGGAGAAATATGAGATAAAATATGCTCCAAATGGGGTGATTAAAGTCATCACTTACAGCTAAAACTGGTAGTAAAACACAGTTCTTTAAAGCAGAACTTTGCTCTCTGAGTAATAAAGCAAAACAGTCCCTTACATGAGTAATAAAGCAAACAGTCCCTTACCTGGATCAATTACGTGTTCATTGTTTGGCATTGTAAACTTTTCTGGACATGCTTCTTACCACAAATTAATGTGAGAGAAAATTTTAAACTAAGGGTGCCCAAAATTGCCGTATTTATGGAAAAACTTTTGTTTGTGAGACAAGATGAAGAAAGTCAGTTTCAATTTCCAACAGCTCTAAACGTGTTAATGTATGTATACTTGGAGGAATAATGATTTTTTGAAAGGAAGTAACATTTAGCAGTGGACAGGCACTACCTTAATCAAATAATTAAATTTAATGTCACTAAAAATGTACAAACTGGCATTATGTATTTGGCAATGCAAAACAACAGAAAGTAAATAATATCACCAATACAGTATAGCTAATAAAAATTTAAATCTGAATCTAACAATAAAAATTATTAGACAAATTAGAATTGTGTCACAATTTGTAAAAACACTGACATGGAATATTGAACAATGTCAAGTTAATAAAAGACAAAAGCTTCAGAGAACTCTGCTGAGTTAAAGGAGATTAAAAGAACATAACAAAATGCAACCCAGGATTAGTCACTGGATTCTAGACAAAAAGATTAAAAAAAAAAAAAAGAAAGCTGTGACATTTTGAGAAAAATTGAAGGAATCTGAATGTTAATTGAATACATGTTAATAATACATTAATATAAAATTTCTTTAGTGTGATAATGATATTTTAGTTATATTTTTAAAATGCTGAAATACATGGTGTGAAATGCAATCGTATCTGTAACATTTTTATATGTTTTGGCAAATATTCTCAACTGTGTGTGTGTGTGTGTGTGTGTGTGTGTGTGGTGTGTCATTCAAGTTTGTCTATTTTATCTTGATATTCAGCATGGCATTCCTTTTCACCTATCCTCATGTCAGTATCATGTAAAGATAGCTGATTCATCATGGACTCATTCTCATCTATGTTTAGAATCCTTGACATGGTATCAGTTAAAATACAAGAAACCTAGACAAATTCATGTGTCATCACAGATTACCTGATACTTGAGCAACTCTGTCAAACTGAAAATTAGGAACAAGAGTCTGCCTTTTGATTAAAATAAATTTGGGCAACAGAAAACTCTTATGGCTGGTCATTTGGCCAAGGAATGCTAAGAGAAATTACACAAGAAGCTTTATAAATCCAGCTATTACCATCTCAGAAGTAAAGATTTCAACGCCATGTCAGTAACTGTTCATCTTTTTCTAAAAGCTGATACAATTTTCTTTGTTCAATTACTTTTATGTTTTATCAAATACAATTAACAGTTACTGTGTTGGAGGCTGTATTTTTAAAAATTATATACATTATAAATATTAAGTTAGTTTATTTAACTTTTATGACATTATGAAATTGGTACAATTATTGTTTCTATTTTTCAGAAGAGAAATTTGAGGCAAAGAGATGTCAGTTGCTTTGCCCAAGATCACACAGGTAGTTTAGGGACAAAACAGGGATGCTACTTAGACAGTGTGACACCAGAGTTTATATTATGGACAATGTTAACTTCCAGTTTTCTAATTATCTTAAAACATCTAACAGACGTTTTAAGAAAACATCTAATAGCACCTCATCACTTACTTTAAAGCTTCACTTTCCATCTCGAGTTAATCTTTATATAAGGGATCCAGTTAATCTTTATATAAGGCTAGCCAGTTTTCCAAACACCATTTATTAAACAGGGAATCCTTTCCCCATTGCTTCTTTTATTCATATTTGTCAAAGGTCAAATCGTTGTAGATGCGTGGTATTATTTCTGAAGCCCCTTTTCTGTTCCATTAGTCTAGCCATATGCAGAGAGCTGAAACTGGATCCCTTCCTTACCTTACACAAAAATTAACTCCAAATGGATTAAAGATTACAGGGTAAGACCTAACACCAATAAAACCCTAGAAGAAAACCTAGGCAATACGATTCAGTACATAGACATGGACAAGGACTTTACGACTAAAACACCAAAAGCAATGGCAACAAAAGCCAAAACACACAAATGGGATCTAATTAAACTTAAGAGCATCTGCACAGCAAAATAAACTATCATTAGAGTGAACCAGCAACCAACAGAATGGGAAAAAAAAAATTGCAATCTACCCATATGACAAAGGGTTAATATCCAGAATCCACAAAGAACTTAAACAAATTTACAAGAAAAAAACAAACAACCCAATCAAAAAGTGGGTAAAAGATATGAACAGACACTACTCCAAAGAAGACATTTATGCAGGCAAGAAACATATTTTAAAAAGCTTATCGTCACTGGTCATTAGAGAAATGCAAATCAAAACCACATTGAGATACAGTCTCACACCAGGTAAAATGGTGATCATTAAAAAATCAGGGAACAACAGATGCTAGAGAGGATATGGAGAAATAGGAATGCTTTTACACTGTTGGTGGGAGTGTAAATTAGTTCAACCATTGTAGACGACAGTGTGGCAATTCCTCAAGTATCTAGAAATAGAAATATCACTTGACTCAGCAATCCCATTACTAGGTATATACCCAAATGACTATAAATCTTTCTATTATAAAGACACATGCACACATATGTTTATTGTGGCACTGTTCACAATAGCAAAGACTCAGAACCAACCCAAATGCCATCAATGATAGACTGGATAAAGAAAATGTGGCACATACACACCATGGAATACTACGAAGCCATAAAAAGGATGAGTTCATGTCCTTTGCAGGAAATGGATGAAGTTGGAAACCATTATTCTCAGCAAACTGACACAAGAACAGAAAACCAAACGCCGCATTTTCTCACTCATAAATGAGTGTTGAACAATGAGAACACATGGACACAGGGAGGGGAACATCACATATTAGGGTTTGTCGGGGGGGTGGGGTGCTAGGGGAAAAATAGCAGGGGGTGAGAGGATAAGGGAGGGATATTATTAGGAGACATACCGAATGTAGATGACACGGTGATGGATGCAGCAAACCACCATGGCGTGTATATACCTATGTAACAATCCTGCACGCTCTGCATATGTACCCCAGACCTTAAATAATAATAAAAACCTTCACTTTCCTTAAGTATGATACTTGAAGTCTTTATAATATATATATACTCTACTTACTATTTAAGTTTCTATAGCTTCTGACACATTATTCATCCTTACCCCTCTCTCTCTTTTGTTTTTTCATTAGCCTGTCTTGTCCTTATCATTCTGATTCATAGGCTTGATTTTTCCCTGTAGCTAGGTGTTGGTCAAGTTCAGCTTCTGTTTCCTGAGGACAACCTCTACATCAAGGCTTTACTCTTCCCATTAACCCCAGAATTACATAATTAGTGTTTTTCATTATAGGGATGAGACATAAAATGAGAGCATATAATAAAACTGCACTGATATTGGACTATAGAAATAAAAATAGTATGACAGAGTAAATATTTATGTATCCAACTGCAAACTACTATCCATAATCACTTGTGGCCATAATGAAATCATCCCAGAAATGCTTATTTCCTACTATGAAGTGTGCTCTCATGATCACTCTTTTATTGTTGGTTTTGAAAGCAATGTACCATTAAAAATTTCAACTTCTGTTAAAGTTTTAGCTATTATTAAAATTGGGGTCAACTCTTAAAATATATAGTTCAATACATTGCAGACAGCTATTTTGTATCACTTATTGATATGATATTATCCATGATATAAACATCACTCAATTATTAAAACTCTGAAATATTTTATTAAAGGAAAAATTATGTGCATTGTGAGGGTATTTATAGTCAAATGCAAATTAAACATAATCAGCCTAGAAATTGTTTATAAATATTGATTTAAAACATATGCTACATATTTTCTATTAATATTGCATAAACAAAATGTACAGTTTTATAGGTCTTATTTTTATAAAACTTGCATTTCAATTAAATATATTTTCTTTATCATTACTCTATACATTTTTTTTTCTTTTTAAAGCCCTTTGTTTTGTTGTTTGTATTTTTTATTCTTAAATTAGTCTCAGGGAATCAAACATATTTAAAAAGTCTATTTTCTTACTTATCAAGGTAAGATATTCTAGATTTGGAATTCTTTATTTCATTTTGATGGTCCTGGTAGATAGAGGGCTATTTCTCATGTATATTCTGATCTCAAGTTACTCTATAAATAAGAAACATTTTCTCAAATGTGTGTTTTGTTACCTAATGGAGTCAATAACTTAGTGAATGTTGACATCAATAGGTGAAATAACATAGAATATTCAGTAATTTCTAGCCAAAATACTTAGCATACTCTGCCTATTCTCTCTCTCTCTCTCTCTCTCTCTCTCTCTCACACACACACACACAAACATATAGACATACAAGTTAAAAATCGTACATATTTTATCAAACACATTTTACACTTTGTCAACTATTTCATTTTAGATTTTTCTGTGAGAAAACAGAGTAAAGTGGAATGATGAAACTATAAAAATAATTTAAGCCTCCTTCAAAGTGCCTTAAAAATTCCAAATATTTCAATTTTTAATTTTAAAATAACTCAGTTTCTGGGAATAAAAATAGGAGCCTAGTAATAAAACGTACTCTGATATTATTGTCATAATATTCTACTGTGACAATTGTTTTAACTTAATTAGATGTAAACATTACTTTTAAGAAGATATATATATATAAAGTTATGTGTGTAGGTATTTACTATAGCATAACAGTTATGAAATATATAATAAATTCCAGTCAATAAATCCCAGAAAAATAAGATCCACCTAATAGATTCCATTTGGCTGAGTCTTGAAAGTAGCAATTATACTACCATTTAAGAAATAAATGCTTTATCTTTCAGATTTGCAACAATTAACATGAACTATTTTACCCTCCCAAGTTTTTAGGACAGAAATCTGATGAAGCAAGTGTTTTAATACATTTTGGTTTTATTGAATAACAACAAGAAGAAAACACATGTCCTGATAATAGTTTCTTGTCACCTACCTCCAGCCATTAGAAGAACATAGAAAAAAATAACTCTAGAATCTCTGATGTGTTAGATCTATAGATTATAACTATACATTTTGTTTCCTCTCTCTCTTCAGAAATGTTTCTGTCCCACTTTAAACAAAGTTGGTTTGAGGAAGGAGGTGTCTCTGCAAAGAGAAAACTGGGGTTCTATTTCTTGGCTAGATATTTGCTGAATGAGCTACAGAAAACTGTATGCTATGTCAGTGCACCAGAGAGGGAGCTTGTGACAGAAGTATTTGGAAAAGTCACCATCTGGTCAAAGAAATTATAAGTCATATATAAACAGAAGTTAGGAAATTTTGAGAGTAATGACACAGTGGAATTTCCTGAAAAACCTAGATGAACAAAGAAAAATATTAGATTAATTATACAACCTATAATTATCATATCAAGAAAGCATAAGTCTCTAGTGAACTACATGTATAATCCAGAAAAAAAAGGAGCTTGGCTTTGGCCATTTTGAGTGGAACCCAATTGGGGCAGTTTCTTGGAAGAGAGTAACAGAAACAGGAAGAGGTTGCAGAACGTGTTACTTTGGGAAGAGTTGTGGGGAGAGCAGACAAGAGCAGAAGATGTGCTTCAATGAGGTTAGCAAGGACGTTTACCACAAATTCAGAACACTTGTCAGTTCAGAGGGTCTTTCCTCCAAAGGGCATGAAAAAACTATGATCTTCACTTATAATGTCAAAACAGAGTAAAAAATGAAGATCTGACAGACATATTGAAATACATATATACATTAAGTTGTTACTTATGTGTATCCTCATTAAATTGAGCTTACTTAAAAGGTGAGTACCAGACACCAGTCTAAAGGATTCGTATATACATATTCAGATAAAAATTTAAAAAGATTCTTTAGTGACACTTCTATCAGATACAGTCAGTGGTTCCTCCACAGACCTCCACTGACTTGGGACAAATGTAATGTTTTGGAGAAATAATTGGTGGATGGCTAAACTTAATTAATACTGGGAACAGAACTGAATTTAAATTAGATAATCATTCCTATTGCACACATCAGACATTGTTAGCCACTATATATCAATGTAATAAATATCTAGTTTTGTAGAAGTATAAAATGTTCAGATTATTTTAGCTACTGTATCATGTTTTATTCATTCCTTATTGAACTGATATAATTTTGCTGATAATCACAAAAAAAAGTCCATCATTTTAACAGAATATTTAAGGCCCTTTATATAGATGTATAATTAGTGAAGTCAAACCAATTTTTAAAGTGGGGGAATTTCAGTATGTCCTGAACATAATAATATAATCAGATCATTTGGGAAAAAGGTACAAGCAATCATGAACAAACACAGTAATACACACATATACATATTTTCATATAAATATATACAAATATATCTGAAATATATACATATATGAAATATATATTATATGGAATATATATATGTATACATATTAGACACCTGGAAATTGTAAGGTTTAGTACCTTTCCTTACTCATCATAGGGATCACAGACAACACACCTATAACAAAAGACAGGCTAACAAGACGAAAATATCAGAAATTTAATCAGATTCATGTCACATGAAAGCCTTCAGAAAGGCAGGCCCAAAGACTCAAGGAAAACTTTCTATTTTTATGCTTTTATACAATGAAGAATGG